ATGACTTAAATGTTGGTCTAAAACTAATCATTTTTTTCATATGTGTTGACATTGGATATATATATATATATATATATATATATATATATATATATATATATATACACACACACACATTGGTCAGTAATAATGTTGCCTTTTGAAGTTGTTTCATGAATGCACTGTTTCATGGGAAAGTATTCACAATAAGTGTGGGGAATATATATATATATATATATATATATTTGCTGATTTGATATGTGAGATACTGAAAAAATGTTTCAGTATATTTCTTGGTAATAATACATTTTGTGAGTACATCTGATTATTCTGTTTCTATTGTTTTGTGGGAAACTCTAAAAAAATTATCAGTTATTTGAATTCTACTTTTCTTGGATATTTCATACATTTCAGCCAATGAACTAATAGTAGGAATATTTGAGATTCTATATATTTTATACAGTAAGGCATTATTTTTCAGCCAGCTGTTCAAATGTACATTGCAATAATTCTCATGTCAAATGTCTTTTGAAAAGATGAGGTAATGGGGAAGAAGTTTAATTGGATCACAAAACTGCATACATTTCTGGGTAAAAGGTGAAGGCTAAGAAAACGAGTTCATTATGCTACAAGAAAGAAAGTAACCTTTGGATACAAAACTACAATTTTTAATCATTAAGGACAGAATTTATGTTAGAAATATATTCAAAATAGTTATTTCATTTTAATTAAGAATTTCTTCTATGCCCCAGCAAGCACTATGAACTCATTAGGATATGTTAAGTTAGTGTATGGCATGGCAGGTAATAAAAAATGTAAGGAGAAATTAAAAAATAAATTGAGTCTAGGTTATTAGAATTCAGAAGTGATGTTCAATTGGGAGTGAATTTATATACACCCCTATTTTTCTACTGAAAAGAAAATGAAATTTCTTTTCTAGAAATGATTGCTTTGAAACCTGGAATAATTTAATTACATTTATCAAAACAGGAACATTTGACTAGAATTTGATGAGATCTGAGATTTAAATTTAGGAAGTAACTTATTAAAATTTTACATTCTAGTTAATAAAGTTATAAAGCAAAAATTGGTGGTACTAAAATCAGACTTGATTTATAAATATTTTTAAAGTGTATTGTCTGTTGACTTATCTTGTTGACATTACTAAAATTTGCATAATTTCATGGGGACCAAATTCAAGTAGAGAATAAAACCATCAAGCAGCAGGTCAATTTTAAGCAGGGTGTTGTGGTACTTTATATTTTATAGATGGATCAAGTCTAGTTCCTAATGATTCTTTGTCTTGTTTATGTAAACAATGGACATTCATTTAATGGGGCATTGTAACAAAGACATGGACTTTAGCACCTTAGATTTCTTATTCATTCAGTGTATTTGTTTGCAAATCTCATAGTGTTATTTATTGGATGCTACAAATGTTGTCTAATTCTGTCTAATATACATGTATTCCAAGAACTAATGCATTTAAAGGATCTGGAAAGTTGTGAGTAATGTATTTAGGAGGCTTGAAAACAGTCTGACTTGAGCATTATGGGTTGAGATGGACAAATTAGTGGGTGATTAATAAGTGATATAAGAGACATTAAGGATAGACATAGACATAGACGTAGAGTTAGATCGTGGAATAAAAGTAATTCCATTCACTTTCTCCTGTAAAGTAATTTTTATATCACCCTCTTTTCATCTCCACTCTGGATTTTGTGTTCTTTGAATATCTCTAGGGTTGAATTTACTTATGAATCTATTATTGCTTTACAGAACTGTTTCCAGTAGTTGTTTCCAAATTACTGTCAAGTCCTAGGTGTTGTAATAGTGAACTTGCTATCTCTATTTTACACATATGCAATCAAGGTCAAAGCTATTTTTAAAATGCATGGCTCATTGTAGGCTTAGGATATTTTTTATTATAGAATTATGAAAATTAAGACAAATTTCAAACTGTCAGATGTGAAGACTCAAAAAGGATGAAACTGGCTTGAAAACCATGCTAACATTCTCTCACACCTATTTTCAAAGAAAGTTTTATATTTACAGCAACTTCACTAATAATAGCAATAAGAATACAATAACAATTTTTGATCACATATTATGTACTAGGTTATGCAAAAGTAATTAACCTTTATTTCTCACAATACACTATTATTTTATATAAATGTTACCCATTTTATAGCTGAAGAAATTGAAGGTTTTTTAAAAGATAAATTAACTTACTAAGTTGAAAAAGAAAAACTAATTAAAAGGCAGAATCAAAATGTAAATCCCAAAGTAACCATGAAAACTAAGCTTTAAAGGATTGCCTGTACTACTGAGGTGCTTTTTGTTTGTTTTTCTCCCACTTTGAAAACATCAAGCCATAACATGTATTGGAAAAACATTTTCAAGACATTTGTTGTTGTAGTTATTTGTTATTACACAGGATTTCCAGAGCACTTTCTTCTTTTAGTATTTGCCATTTGCCCTGTTTTTCTCTTAGGCTGCTGCAGGTTGGTTATAATAGTTCTTCACATTGAAAGGTCTCCTTCTTCTCCATCCTAACATTTTGTTTTCTGTCTTGAGATTCATATATATATATATATATATATATATATATATATATATATATATAAAAAATTTCATTGGTTGTATAATAGAAGGACCAAAGAGAAATGCCAAAGCAGCTCAGTTGCTGATTCTTCCCCTTTTCATGTTTGGACACCGATTTCATACACATGTTGAGTAAAAGTCTCCATAGCATAAAAGAGCAGAGTCCAGTTCGACAGAAGAGTAGGGTTATTCAAAGTCATAACCACAGGCCTTATCGGTGAACTGAGTTTAGTTCTAATGTGGGCAACATAGAGGACTTTGTTTAGTATAGTAATATTCTCCATGTCTATGAAAACAAACCTTAGAGTTTTCCATTGCTCTGTGGCTCTTCAATGTGCCTAGATTTAGTTTTAGTTTAGTTTTGTTTTGTTTTTTTCTTTTTATCAGAACCCTGGAAATTAGCACTTTTTCTTTTACTATTTTAAAATTCCAAAAGCTTTTGAGGTTCTTCACTGGATGCCTTGATGCTAATGTTCTGAATTTAGGGAACCTTTCAAGTATAAGTACTTACAAATGGTGTGACTCCTGGCTCATGTACCAAAGACTGTGCTATAACTCTCTAAACCTGCTGAGATTTAAATAGGCAGGAGACAACTGGAAATTGACCCTGGAGGCCACTGATAAGATCACAATCCTACTGAAAAATGTGCTGGAAGTACCAAAGACCTCAAGAGGTCAAGAATTTTTGCTTTACATTCCTTGTGAAAAGCTACCTGGGGCTCTCCTGGTCCCTCCTGGGGCGATCATCTTTGTTCAGACAAAGGGAAGGATTCATTACACCAATCATTCCTCTTCTCACCTGCATCTGTTTCACAGTGGCTAACCAGTGTTCAGACTTTTCTTTATCTGTACAATCTAACCCAATAAAAGTATAAGAAAAAGTTTGCTGCTGGCAGAAATTGCAATATATTTGGATCTTATTTCTTTCTGCAATTTCTTAGCAAATGAAATTTACATTCTCTTTCAATCTTTCTTTTTCTTTATCCCTTCCTTTTAAGGTTTTACTAATATGTCTACAAATATAATGTCAAAATTTGGTTGTTAGAGAAGTGAGTTTACTTTCAGATGTCTGTGTTTTCCTTTTTATACAGAATTGTTTTATTATCCAGATACTTTGGAAAATTCAAATCATATTTAGAACACAGATGTGTGCTGGAGTCTTTAAACCTGACCTCTTGAAATTTTAATATCAATTTACTCAATTTTAATTCATTATACTGTTACAAGGTGAATCATCGTAGAAGCCACATTTTAGAATATGGAATATTGGAGTCTTTATTATACAATTAGCAAGCTACAGGCAGCCATTTGTTACAAAGGCCTACAGCCCCTAAATACACATAACACAGCTATGAAACAGGCTAGAGAGAAGGAAAAAACAAAAACAACACCAACAAAGCCAGTTCAGCTCTGCTGGAGAGCTGAATTGGGACGCCATGATGATTAGAAATGTACCCCGAGACAGGACACAGGAGATGATCATGGAGACACACGTGTCATGGCGTAATGGAGGCTGGGCTGGTCCAGGCCTAAATAACAGGGGACAGATCCACAGGAAATTCCCAGTCCTAAGCACTGAACTGACAGATTCAGTAACCTATCAGCCAAGTGACCACCCCTGTCTCCAGGGTTCCTGTCATGCCCTGGCATGCCCTGGCAGATGTTGGACAGGGGCATTTCCCTCCCCCAGACCCTACCATCCAGCATGTGGCCAATATGACACTGGCCAGACCTGACCTACTTACTTCAATATGAAATGATTCAAAATGCATTTCTAGGAACTAAGGAATTGTAGCTGGGCGCTGGTGTCTACTGTAATTCTAGCTACTCAGGGGGCTGAGATCTGAGGATCCTGTTTTGAAGCCAGACCAGGCAGGAAAGTTCCTGAGACTCTTATCTCCAGTTAACCACCAGAAAACCAGAAGTGGTGCTGTGGCTCAAGTAATAGAGTGCTGTCCTTGAGCTGAAGAGTTGAAGACCAGCACCCAGACCCAGAGTTCAACCCCACGACTGCCAAAAAAAAAAAAAAAGAAATTGTAAGGAGATGTATTAAATTTGTAATAACAAGAATCATATGTATGTATTATTTTTTTAAAATTTTTTTTCAATTGTGGACTTGAACTAGGAACTGTACCTGAGTTCTTTTGCTCAAGGCTAGCGTTCTACCACTTTTGAGCCATAACACCACTTCTGGTTTTCTGGTGGTTACTTAGAGAAAAGAGTTAAGTGGAGGCCAACATCACATGGACTTTTCTGCCCAGGCTGGCTTTGAACCTCAATCCTTAGATTCCAGCCTCCTCAGTATCTAAGATTACTGATGTGAGCCACTAGCACCTGACTCCTTTTTATAATTCTTAAATGAAGCATAATGTACTTAAAAGACAAATTTTGTGATCATGTGTAACATGTTTTTCCAGCTCTGAGGATGCCTTCAATAAAGTCAACTTGAATTATCGCACTGAAAATGGATTAACTCTCTTTTGTGGAGGTATGTGAAACTTGAAACCTTTTTACTGTGTGTGTGTGTGTGTCTGTCTGTCTGTCTGTCTGTCTGTGTCTCTCTGTGTCTCTGTGTGTCTGTGTGGATGATCAGTGATTTGAGCTACTTACATGTCTATAAGGAAATGCTATTCATACTCAATTTTCTGTTCTTCTTTGCCTTGACCAAACTGATAAACTTCACTGAAAGCATTAACTATGAGGAAGATATTCCATTTAACTTGGCTCTCAATTTGTTTCCTTTTGTTCCTCCTCTAAAACAAGTCACTTAGTTCCTTGTAAATCAGAAAGCTTTTTTCTGTATCTGGCATGCCAGTAAGGAATAGGTTAAATTCAGAAGCATTTAAAGCACTGTCAAAATATCACCAAGCAGTTCTTAAGAAGAAGCAGTAAGAAGTAATAAGAAAAATAATAAACACCAAATATATAGTCTGAAAGTTGAGATCAAAATGATGATTATGAGTTTAACTTGCCTTGAATTTTGATTTATCACAAGTGCCTTGAATAGCTTCTAACCTATTACCTATTTATTAAATTAGCAAGTGAATACAGTATTTTATTAATCAAGCTGATTTCAGCTTTAAAATTTTTTAATAGATCTGTAATGATTACCAGCTCTCATCATGTTCCTTCTGTTGTATGTGAACTTGATTGGTGAGAAACAGAGAAGCCACATTTTGTGAGGTCGAATTGGGAGTCTTTATTGGAGAGTCGGCGACTGCAGGTGGATTCTTGTCACAAAGACTTGCAGCCACCTTAGCACAGTTGGAAAACTGAGTCCTGAGAAGAAAGGAAAGAAAGGGCAGTAAAACAATACCAACAAACCAGATCAACACCAATGGAGAGCTGAATTGAGACACCATGTGGCAGGAGGAGAGCTAGGAGACATGAAGCATGGTATAATCTGGATTGAGCTGATCAAGGCCGAAGTAGAGTCCTGGTGAGGAGCAGGGTCGCAGAGAGCTTGAGAGCTCATGACCCAAGACTGGTAGGTCAATAATCTATTGTCCAATCCCCACCCCTGCCTCTAGGAATTTAGGCATGCTCATCACCTGGGAGTGGGGGGTGGGATTTCACCTTCCTCCACCATGAAGACAAGATGGCACCAATGAAAACCAATTTGCTACCATACACCACATGTCCAAGATGGCTCCACTTAAACCCAGTATCCTTATTTAACTTCGCCATCCCAAACACATAAAACAACTTGACTTAATAGATTATTCCCATTTAAATCCAACAACTATGTTGTGAACTTTACAACTTGGTGGGAGGGGGGTGTCAGGGGGAAGAAAAGTGGGAGAAAACAAGGGAGGGGGTAACACTGTTTGACAAGGAATGTACATATTACTTTACTTATGTAACTGTAACCCCTCTGTACATGACCTTCACAATAAAATAAAATATTAAGAATAAAAATAAAAACACAACACCTAAACTTAGCCCTCCATAGTCTCTTCATCTAAATAAGTCCACTACTAATAATGCTCGAAGAAAAATCTCTACAACTAGATTTTCATTTGAACTTTTTTACTAATAATTTATTAGAACAAAACAATTCAGATTTTGTTTCAAAACATTAGTCATGAAATAACAAAATATAATAATACAAAGTCACTGAAATATATAGCATTATCAAATTTTTAAATATAATAAGAATGATCATTTTGGGCTGAGAAGTTGGCTCAGTGGTAGAGTGCTTGCCTTGCATGCATGAGGCCCTGAGTTTGATTCCTCAGTACCATATAAGCAGAAAAAAGCCAGAAGTGGCACCGTGGCTCAAGTGGCAGGGCACTAGCCTTGAGCTTAAGAGCTGAGGGACAATGCCCAGGCCCAGTGTTCAGCTCCCATGATCGACAAAAAAAAAAAGTGAACTTTTAAGTATAGTTAGCAATTAATGAAAAAAATCTTACTAATACTCTATGAATGCACAACATCTGGACATATTCTGATTTTCATATGTCCAAATAACATTTATCATTAAGTCCAAGAAAGATTTAAAGGTCACTTAGTTTACTCTCAAAATGATTTAGGCTTTATTTTTCTCTCTAAGACAATAAGTCACATATTCGAAGCCTTATGTTAAAAGGGCTCTGCCCATCCCAGCTGACAAGAAATGGATTTACAGCATTGCACCTGGCAGTTTACAAGGTATGACATTTTTATTCCAATAAGTACTGTTAAAGCCAAGGATGGGGTGTAACCTTAGACTTCCTATTTTGTGAGGTTTCTAGGGAATAAGAAATCAAGGAAAAATTTCGGGATGACCATAGTTATTACATTTTATTGGACAAATATTATCTATATACAAGTCATATAGTACCTTTAAGGTTTTTTTTGTCATTAACTCATTCAATCCTCACAAGAACCCTGGGATTAAATACAGTTTTTACCTTCAAGTTTACATGGTTAGTCAGTGATTACCCATGATGTAAGACCAGGCTGTTTACTTCCTTCACTAGGTTGTATTAGAATAGAATCAAAACTATTTCTTTTTGGAAAATATTCCTTATAAAGAATCTCTAGAGATTTCTTTAGCATCCTCCTTTCACCTTTATTTCTGTTGTTTCCTTTCATTGGACTGCAGTTCTGACCAAATTTCAATGCCAAATGTTAGCATCAAAATTAAAGTAGATCAGATAAAGCTTGGCACCAGTCACTCATGCCTGTAATCCTAGCTACTCAAGAAGCTGAGATCTGAGGATCACAGTTTTAACTCCCATTAATTCTAGGTTTTTTTTAAATATTATTACATGAAACTCATGTATACATGTTATGTTGTCACTAGTGGTTTACATTTTGTTTACATTTGTTTTCATTTTATTCACATTAATATTTCATTTTCATGAGCCACTTGAGAGTAGAATACTGATAGCATGCAGTTTTTTCCTCTAGCTACTTTAAATTTTATTTCCAAAAACAGAAATTAACTTCAATGTAATTAAAAATCATTAAATTTAATATCAATGTGGCATTGCTAACGGTAATGTGACACTACTCATATAGTATCACAAATTCAAAAGATTACTGATTCAAATGTGTTTTATCATTTCCTTCGGGCTTAGAATCTAATCCAGAATTAGTGAAAATAGTCTATAATACATGTTTCTGTAATTTCCTTTCTTCTGATAGAATATCTCATTCTATACTTATACTTCTTGAACTTAATATTTTGATGCTTCCAGTGCAATTATTTATACATATTTCATTGTTTTTTAAATTTATGGAAATTAAAGTTAATCTTGTTCATGATACTCAAAATGAAAATAGTAACTATCACATATTTTAATTGGCCAGCTTCTGAATACTGGACTTTTCAATTAGGTCTGCCTCATTGTTTATAACTTTATTTTTTAACCAGTAGTATTCTCTTCTCTCATTCTTTGCTCTCATTAGTAAGAAAAGAGCAGATGTTTTGCTTTTGTTGTTTTTTTTAAGGATTTGTAACACCATAAGTATAACCCAGTCTAATAATTTTTGTTTCTCTGTGTTTTATGGTTTTAAACAGGCTTTTAATTTATTGGAATATACTATTTGCATAATAAATTTATAATTTTATTCAATTGATAACTTTTGAAAATGTAGAGTCTATTGTCATACAACCATTATCAAAATCATGATTTGGCATTTTTCTAACACACTAAAAATTTCCTTTTTTATTCAGTTAAGTTCCTCCATTCTCTCTTCATATTTCCTTAAGCTTTTGGACTTGAATTACTACTTTAAATACTAGTTCTGTTATATTTACAACTGAATTACCTCAGTGCTTTTATTAAATATGTTTTCAAAATTTCCTGCTTCTTTTTATCTTTATTGACTTTTCATTGTATATTAAGCACATATATTTTGTGTTACTGAAAATATTCATCATGTTATATTCCTTTAAAGGGCACTATGGTGGTCTTTTGGTTTATTTGTTTTGCTTTTATTATTTTGCTTTTGGCATATAATAACATTTTTTTTGCTATACCTGCTTGCTCAAGTTGACCTTGTTTTGATTTCTTTAAAATTAGAATGAGTATATTTTAGTATTTAACCTACCTTCTTGTCATACTTCTTTTTATTAGCATATATTAGTTATCCCAGAAGAGACATTTCACTGTGACATTTTTACTCATGTACACAGTGTATGTAATTAATTTTTACCCTATCACTCTCCCTCTCACCTTTGTAAACTAATTTCAATAGATTTCATTGTTCTATTTCCATAATTCAGATATCTACTTCAAACATATTCATCCTCATTCACCCTTGTTGTTAACCCAACCTTTTCCTGATAGGACTAACTACCTCATTCCCAACACAGCTTCTTGACATAGTTCTGATTCTAGGATGTGTTCCTCATATCTGAGCCTGGCTCTTTCCCTTGTGATGCTTCACCCAAATGTCCAAACTACTCAGTGCTTTCGTCTATTATAGCTATCTGAAACCTCCTAATCTCCTAGTCCTTGTATGTTTTAATAGAGTTTTACTTTATGCTATGTTGCCTAACTCATGCCTATGTAGATTTCTACAATCCTCTTTGTATACAGCTTTATCTTCTCACTTCTCCTGAACTACAAAAAAAGGTTTTGAAATATTGGAGCTCTGTTTTCAATCCTTCACTTTGTAAAAATGCCCGTCTATTTTGTGCTCTGTGTCAGAAAATTCCTTCAAGTGAAAAGTCAGGGTACTCATGGGCTATCCTGGAATCCACTTCTCATCTTTTGATTCTGCCAAAGATCACCACTTTTTGTTCGTGTTCTTAAGTACCTGAGAATAGTAGTGCCATATACTTTATTATGTTTTATAGACTTTACTAAAAAATTCTAGACAAATTGTACAGATTAGCTCTCATTTAGTTTTGTATTTCTTATGGATTGATCCATAAGAAATAAATGCATAATATCACAGCTCTGTTTAAAACTTTGTATTACCACCTATTGTCAATATCATAAAATTCAAATTTCTAAATACAAGATTCAAGTTAACTCATAATTTTGCTCAGGTCATTTTTAGACTCTTTCCTGTTATTATTGTCCTTGCAACCTTCATGGTTTTCAGCTTAGTCAGTTTGAGAATTATATGTTTAAAAATTAATATTTTCCTCTCTTATTAATCTAATTAATCTGGGGATCTAGGATTTTAACAATGAGTGTAGGCAACTTCAACACGAAAAGTCTAAGACTATATACTATAGATCACTGGTCAGGTGTTACAACTCATAATGGGATCAGAAGGACAGCCAAACCCATCTCAACTTAAAGATTTTGAAAAGGCAGACTCTCCTTCTCCCAGACTGTTTCAACCAGTAGTCCATGCTTTCCAGAGCAAATAAATTAAGAAGCTCTATCTGTCTATTTCCCTCTCCTCTCTCTCTCTCTCTGTCTGTTTCTCTGTCTCTCTCTCTCTGTCTCTCTCTCTCTGTGACAGATTTTTGTAGGACCCGGCTCCCATGAGTATGGAGCTGAAAGATGCCTGGTCTTCGGTGTAAAACAATAAATCTAGCAGTATGATTCAGTTTAAGCTCGAACTCTTGAGAACCAAGGAAACTAATGGCACAATAGTCAATTTGACTCCAATGGCCTGAGAACCAGCAATTCCACCAATATGTGTGGACAGATGATGATGTCTCTACTCAAAATAGAAGCAAATTAATCATTCCTCCAGCTTTTTGTTGTGTTTTGACTCTCAGAAGATTTGACAAAGCCTCCTCATATAGGGAAGGGTGATCTTCCTTAGTGTACCAGTGCAAGTCCAAATCTTCAGAAACTTCTTCACAGACATACAGAGAAATATTGTTGGTAATCACTTAGCTCTGTGAAATTGAAATCAACCATCATGAGCAAAATGTTTCCTCCTCCTCTCTTCTTCCTCTCTTCTTTCTCTTTTTTTTTTTAAATTTAATTCCAGATTTTTTTGGTTGTTGCTGTTTTTTTAATCCCCAGCTAAAGTTTAGAGAGCCCTGTTGTAAATGAATTCATTCATTAGGCTAGGTACCTTCATATTTCTCTGATTTTATTCTTGTAGTTTTTTTCTGGTATTTTTTAAATTTCTTAATTCAAAATTAGCAAATGCTTGAAACAAGATGAATAATGCGTTCTCAAATTTTATTTCTGTCTACTTGCATGTTTACATTACCTTACATTACCTTTATCTATCAGACTTGCTAATTTGCATATTTTACTTGATGACTGTGACCTTTGGCCTTTTGGATGAAGCATTTTTCTTTGATTCCTCATTGCGTACCTATCAAAGATTCCCAGTGAGTACTCTTTTGGAAAGTAATATGTTGATATTGATACAAACAACGAATGTAATTTGAGTTCAGTAGCTTGAAAAAAACTTGCCAGTTTAGTAGCACACTACTTGTGTTCATTTCTCACTTTGAGACTTACTAAATGTGTTTCTTTAGGAAAACTAATATTTCTCTTTGCCCCATTTCTCATTCCTGAAATGGAATTATATATCCTGATGGGTGATTTAGATTGTTTTCATGGTTTTTAAATAGTTTTACAAAGAGGTTACATTTAACAAAGCAGTTTATGAATACAATGCATCTTGATCGGTGTCCCTCCATCAACATTTTCACATTCCATTTGACCTATGGCTTCCCTTACTATTTTAAATTTTGTAGTGCATAGAGTGGATTCTTGACTGCATTGTTCCCACCTTCTAAACAAACAAGTTCCATAATTAGGAATATGCCTATCACATGGTATGTTATAAATATTGCTGAACTTCAGCCATTTTAAATAGAAAAAGAAAAATTATCTTCTGAATTACTATATCCTTTTTTATATTCTAAAGAGATGAGCATAAACAATACTAACAGCATCACAATTTATACTTAGTTGAGTTGGCTCCAGTACTTTCTAATCTATCTTATAAAACTTATCTTTAATCTATCTTGTAAAATGAGCACTTTAAAATTAATATATTTGTTCATGAATTATATAGTTGAAAAAGAACAACTGATAAATAGCTCAAGCTAGATTACGCATTTTTAGAATAAATCTCAATTTCAACAAGCTTTATGATAACATCGCAGTCTTTTACCAATTTCATGTATAATTGAACTAAAAATTACTCCTACAAAACTCAACCTGGAGAAAGAAGGTGTCATTTTTGGACACTCCATTCTTGACAACACTTATAATGTTAGTGTGGGC